TAGTGTTTCTAGTTCTGATGTATGATGTTCTTATCAGATTGTATATCATTTTCTTAAATGATTTTAGAATTTGAAATACTATAGTTTTCATCATTGTACATGTGTAATGGACATACTTCCCACAAGATTTCAGTTAGAAGTATTATTTCTTGCTCTTTTTTTCTTATAATAATTTTACTTATGACATAACCTCAGTCCTTTCCTTTTTCTCATTTTTTCTAAAATTTGTTTTTCTAAGCATTTAGAAGGGAGTTGATCTGATTTTCTAATTATTGTCACTAGTGCGCCCTCTTTTGTTGTTTTGAGGAACTTTTAAAAGTTGGGCTGCTTATTTTCTGAGATTTCTTGCCTTTATTCTCTCTCCTCCTCACTTTTAAAATTCATGCATTAAAAATTTACAAGTCAGTGTTGTTGTTGTTTTTAAATATATTCTCAAGAGTGAGCAACTAGCACACTGACTTGAGATGAAGATTTACACTAGTATTTTCTTCTAGGAGTTGTTATCAACGTAGCTCTTACATATAGGCTCATTTTGAGTTAATTTTCACCTATGGTCTGTGGTAGGAATCCAGCTTCACTCTTGTGTATGTGGTTGTCCGAGCAGCATTTGTTGAACTCTCCCTTCACTGATCTGGACTTCATTATCTCTTTTCTGACACCCCTGTGGTGCTACACTTGGATTCTCAAGGATTTTTCCTTAACATGAAGTTTATACCTTGAAAACTAGTCAGTTTTGAAATTTCATTGGGTTTATATTGCTCCTAGACCCTAACAGTTGACCTTTTGTACTATACTCACTATTGCAGTATGCATATACCCCAGCCACCATTTTCTGCTGTTATTCAAAATCTAATGTGTATGAGTACTTGTTGGCTGTTTTGGAATTTTCAGGATGCTGAGATACTCCTCTATTTCCTTGTGCACAGATGGTGCTATCCTATGCTGGTGTAGTTGTTACTGCCTATTCCTTCTCTGCCTACTTGTTTTGGGGGTTTGTAGGGAAACTGTCACCTGATTTTGTGATAGCACTAGTCTGTGGGTTTTTATTTGACTTTCCCAGTGTTCTGTGTGGAACCTTGGGAAATTTATAGACTGTTAGCATTGCCATTAACAGTTTCCAAGAATCCTTATAAAACTGTTATTTAATCCTAACATTGATATTTTCTCTCTATTGTTACTAGTTTAATTATAAAGGTAGTTATACAAATTAGAATAAATTGTTTAAATTATGTTAAGCTGTCTAGTAAAGGCATAGATTGCAGCTTTTTACATATATCCATCTTGTATGTTTTCATTCTGAAGTATCTCTTAAGAAATCTCCATCAAATACCTTGAGACCTGATTCTTTGATTTTGCAAATGTGGTTGTATGGCCAAGACTTCCACCACCATGTCAGAGAGGTACTAAAGAATCTGAATACTTCTTGAGTTGAATGTTTGCCTTTGTTTTTTTTATTTCTTTTGCTTTTCACTCTAAAAATGGTGGTGATGTTTTCAGTTGAATAAGTATATTCAGGGAAAAAACATACCTTTTAAAGTCTTCATTGAGATTAAATTGTCTTACAAATGTATCAGCTATTTCCTATATGTTATTTCTATATTGGGAGATTAAATTGAAAATGCTTGTTAGTGGCTTATTTATACATATCTGTCCATGTTTTTGACTGCATGGGGAGAAAAGCCAGTGACATCTTTTCCCATGGATTTCCTCTTCTTCTTATGTTTATTATGTTTAATAAATTCTTGATAACTGTGTGCTTACAAAAGTGAGGTGAGGCACTGTACACTGATGGAAGAAATCAAAAACTTTATACCTGTTATAAAGGTTGTCCCCTGTGACAAACTTATTACACCTCGAAGTCATATTTTAGGCAAATTGTTTAGGATAATAGCCTCCCAATCCCAAATAAAGTAAACCTAGCTGAAAATTAAAATGGTGAAAATAACATTTTAATTTCTACTACCAGAGTTGTTTCTCTTTTGGTTCCTACTAAAGAATGCCAATCTGGGAATCAAGAGACCTGAGTCAGGTCCTGACTTTCCTTTTTGTTTTCTTAATTGATCTGTAGGTTGTAGCAGTTTTCCTCTATAATTATAACTAGAATAGTTGGAATAGATGGTCTCTAACAACTCTTTTAACAAGGATCCTTTAACTCTGTATTTAATATTTAATTAATCTCAGCGGCCTTTAGCAGCCATAATTTATTAAGCCCTTATGTTGATAACCTGCCTCTATCATTGAAGGTACATAGACCATTGAGTAAATGAAAAATGGAAATAGGTAAAACTTCAACTTGATAAGGAACATCTATACAAGAAAATCTACAACTGAAACATCATACCTGATGAAAGATTGAGTGCTTCCCTTCTTAGGCTAGGACCAGGCAAGAATGCATGCTCTTATTCCTATTTAAATGCAGTGTTGGAAGGTAATAACTAGTGCAGAAAGCAAGAAAATGAAAAACAGAAAGAGACAGAAACTGTTTTCATGAAAACGCAAGGAATCTACAAAAAAAGCAACTCCCAGCAAAATTAAATGAGTCCAGTAAAGTCATAGGATGAAAGATTAACATAAAAATCAACTTTATTTCTATATATAGCAATGAATACATGCAATTAAAATAAAAATCCAATTATTTTATTTATTCCCCTCAAAAAGAAATATTTTATGTATACTTAATATAAATCTTAGCATAAGTCATAGGATATCTGTAGATACCAAATGGGTAATATGTATGTAAACTGGTAAAATGTAAAATATTAGATTTTAAGTTTCATGGTCAATGACTTCCTATCTAAGGAATATAGCTCCTTTCAGTCTGCTGTAGTTGAGTGTTCTGGAAGGATATTCAGCAGAACCACTTAGGCCAGTCTGCAGAGTCCTTACAGGCTTACTACAATGTAGGCACTAAGTAAATTAGGCTCTGTTGTCCAAATTAATTTAAACAATAGGTTATGATTTCTCTTTACTCACTTTGGATACTGAGAATTACATGTGAATCAGAGGAAAAATAAAGGAGTTATTTGCTCTGGTCAAGAATTAGAACTCTATAAAAAAACTCATATGACTAATAATACTAACCATAGTGTGTAAGTCATCTCTAAAAGGAGTGGTGTGATATGAGCATTCATGTTTTCTAAATTTTCATTTTTATTTATCAATACAGTTTATAAATGGACTTCTACGTACAAAACTGTCTAGCCGGGTTTTTTTTGTTTTGTTTTTTTACATTGTTTTGTGCTGGATTCCCTTACTTATTAAACAGTAATAGACTTTGTTGTGGCAAGCAGTTATTCATAGATCAGTTTGATCCTTTAGGTATCAGCAGATGTTTTATTGAATAGTCACATAGTAAGCATTTTAAGATTGTGGCTAATGAGCTTTTAAAATTACACAGGTCTGCCCTTGTGCCTAGAAAGCAGCCATGAAATCATATACGTATGCGCACGAGTATTGCTGCCATGTTCTAATTCTTTCTTATAGAAACTTAGTGTGAGTGATAGCTTTTCGACCTCTGCTTTTAGACTATTTAGAGTAGAATCAGCTGATCCTTTAGGAGTGTCTCCTGCTTGCTCTAGATGTTTAGCAAGGACTGTCTAACTGGATAAGAGTCAGTAGCTTCCTAGTCCTTTGTTAGCTTTGGAAGCTCTTCATTCTGCACAATACTCCACTCATCCTTTACTCAGCCTCATGGAGCATTGCCTAATACACACAGCTCAATATCTAGCTAGAGATTTGAGCAAACCCCACACTTGAGTTTTGTGGTCTAGTGGAGAACCTACCTGTTTTGAGGTATTCTGCCCTGCATATTGCTATGTTAGTCCTTTTAACTTAGCAAGATAACATTAATCTTCTTGGAATCTGCTTCCTTGTTCAGTAACCCAAAAAATGTCTCCAGATCAAATATATATATAGATATATACACACACACATACAATATTCACAGGGCTTACCACCTCACAGGGATTATACTCCTCTACTACATTGTCCAAAATTTGAAACTTTTATATATTTCATCTAGTTTTATAGATATTTAAAGCAAGAAGGTGAGCCTCCTCTCAGTTTTAACATCACATTTGGAGTCTTCTATGGTGGTTTGAGTATATTTGATATCCATTATAGACTAAAGTCCTTGGCAGTAGTTGCTGGACTATGAATCTCACCCCAGAGTTCTTTGTTAAATAAAAAACATCAATATAATGATATTGTATGTAGACATTGATGGGCATTTGAAGAACTCAAAACTGATTCCCTTTTAAAGATGGCATATCAAAATAGGATAAGCAGAAAAGGCTGAATGTGTCCTCAGGAAAGCTGAGTATATATTGTAAAAGAACCATGGCAGTAATACAATTTATTCGAAATCTTCTTTTGCCTTACATTTTATTATTTCCATGTATCAGTATTTCAATGTGTTTTAGTTACCACTTAATAACCCTGACTTTACAGAAAAAGGTATTCTTTATCCTTTGATTTCATATACCTCTCTGGATATGACCCTAGACTTGTAGCTTCTCTGTTTTGTGAATCGTAACAATTGAAGTTTTTATTTTAAATAAATTTTAGTTTCTAAATTTTAAGTTAGATTATAGATATTAACGGGCTACTGGAAGCAAGCTCACTGATACGTGTTTACTTGAGTGTTATTGGAGGGAAAAAGTCACCATCCCGTAGGTAGCCTTATATCCCTCTAGAATGTGGTCAAGGTTATTTGCTACAATGAAATAAAATCCTGTAATGCTGTTTCTTCCCGATATTGTGGATTCTTAGCTAAATAGCTGTTGTCAAAGATTCTTGACTGTCTTCGAAGAAGGACTTGGTTATGTAGGACTTACCAATTTTTTTATTAGAATATTAGGAAAATTCTTTATTCCTTTCATTCCTAGAGTAGGGTTTTGTTAATAATTATTTTTGTGCCCAATGAAGTGTATCATAAAACAATTATTTTACTTATACTTGGTTTCCACTAACAACATTAATTTTTCTTTGCCATTCTGCAGTACCTTCTCCAGGCAAATTCCGCTCCCCTGCAGCACCATCTCCTCTGGCTCTCCGGCAGCCAGTAAAAGCATTTAGTAACCATGGCTCTGGTTCTCCTGGCAGCCAAGAAACAACACAGCTCACACAAACCACCTCCTCACCTGGGCCTCCCATGGTTCAGAACACAGTCCCTGCAAATCCTCCCAGCAATATCAACAGCATGACTCTAACCAGACCAGCAGGGACGACCTCAATGAGAAGTGGCTTGCCCAGACCCAGTGCTCCTTCTGCTGGGGGGATACCAGTGCCTCGCAGCAAACTTGCACAGCCTGTCCGCAGGTAAGTGGCAAATGACCAGTTTCAACATTCTTGAACATAAGAAAGTGGGTAAACTGAAATTACCTTCATTTCTACATTTGAAAGTGAACAGAGAATATCCCATTTTAATAATAAAAAAATTACTTAATTGTTTTAAAAGAAACCTTTGGGACTTTAGGATATTATACCACTTTAATTCAAATTTGTTATGCCTAGACGGGCCCTCCCTGGTGGCACAATGGGTTATGGTGCAGCACTGTGGGGCTGTGCACGGCCACTGCAGCATGTGTTCAACCCCTGGGCAGGAAGGTGGCTCACATGATGCAGCAGACCTCTCCTCTCGCTCACTGCTCCTCTCAGCAGTGTATTTCAGTCATCCCACCTGTTCCGGCTCCCTATTCTATCTCTGGTGAATCCTCTCACCCCCTACACCTCTGGCTTGTACCCCAGTTCTTGTGGATAAATAAATCTTTAAAATAAATAAATATGCCCAGGCATATAACCTGATTAGAAGTCCTAGAAAAGTGTAAGAACCATTCAGTTTGGTTGTTGTAATTGTCCATTTTGAATATGATATTCGATAATGGTAATAAAAAACATGTTAGAACTGAGATTAAGAGTTAAGATAATGGTAGCTACTAAGTCTGAGTATAATCCAGAAGGGTATTTCTAAAGCTTGAAAATCCGAGGTATGCTGGGGTTTTGTTAGTTTAATATTGAGATGATCCTGAGTCAAACTAGATTGCATCCGTAATCTTTTCTGCCTTTCAGAAATGTGGTTATCACCACCAGTAAGATTAAATGTCAAATGAAATTAAACTTTAAATATTTATTTGCTTAAATGAAATGCTTTCCCCACATAAGTATTAAAGTTGATTTAAACATATTACATTTCTTAATTCAATAGTACAGTAGCTTTGCACAGTGCTAAATAATTTATCCTTCCCTTATTTAATTTTTACAATAGCATTAAATGTGTACTGTTACTATTTTTTCAGGAAAAAATATTGAAATTTAATGAAGTTAAGTAATCTGCTAAGACTATGTAATTAATGAAACCTTGAGTTCCAACTATAATCTGACTTCAGAGATGTTTTTAGCACTATCACAGTTTCCTCTCTAATAGTAATGACACTAAGCCTCTACTGCCACAGTCATCACTCTGCACTGTGTATAAATAAACGCATGACAAGCTACTTACTCATGTGGTTGGAAAAAACAAGACTATTTTTCCTTTCTTTTATTCTAGTAACTATGTTAACAAAAAGAGATTATTGAAGTGACCTACCAGTAAAATTTGAAAATTGTACATCAAAAGGATGCCTATACCTCTTACTGTTTACAGTAGGTAATATATGGAAACAACCCAAATGCCAAAAAAGAGAGGATTGGATCAAGGTATATATACATACATACATATATATGTATGTGTGTGTGTGTATATATACCTTGATATATATACACACATATATATGTATGTGTGTGTGTGTGTGTATCCCTCCCTGGTGGCATAGGGGTTAAAGTCTCAGCTCTGTCAAGGTATCATCAGCCACTGCAGCATAAATTTGATCCCCAGCCTGGTAGCTAACTAAATCACATGGTGCAGCAGACCTCTCCTGTCTTAACTGCTGCTCCCTTCAGTAGTGTATTTCAGTAGATCTGCCCATTCTGTCACCCACTCTGAATGCTTTCACTCCCCACATCTGTGGCCTATACCCCAGTTCTTGTACATATAAATAAATAAATCTTTAAGGAAAAAAAGAGACATGGGATATACACACAGTGGAATACTGAGGAATCAACAGGAGAGGGCAGAGCACAGGGATGATGGCGATGGTGCACGGGTGACTTCGTGGTGGGAATTTTATAGGGACTGCACCTGAGAGGAGAAAGTGTACATTGTACAAAAATGAATAATGTAAAATGTATATAAATTTGTTTAAAGCTTGAAAATTGTAGAAATGTGAATATGGGATGAATATACTAATAAGTGAGGCTTTGGCTTAGTCCTTTCACTGGATCATGATGCTACCTGAAAAGGAAGTAAGATATATCAGAGGTAATAGGATAGTGTTTTGTGAGGTCGTGCAAATCACTTTATAAAATTGTTTTATTTCAGATCCTTGCCAGCTCCTAAAACCTATGGTAGCATGAAAGATGACAGTTGGAAAGATGGCTGTTACTGACCAGCAAAGAAAAGAATGCAGAGGTCCACAACTTCATGGATACCCCGTCACCAAGCTAAAAGTCAACTTTTATATGCAGACTGTTCAGATAAGACTCTTGGGATTTATACAGTCCCAACCCTCTCTGTCTTAATTAGCACAAACTGACAGAGATGATCAAGCAGCACTTTAATGACATTTAACACCAGACTTGTTTGGTAATCATACAATCACTCTCCATGGAATCACTTTTAGTTTTGTTTACTAGAAACTAAGTTGATTTTTAAATATTTGGCAGAGGCCAATATCTGGGCAAAAACTAATGGATGCCAAAGAGAAATGCCCATTTGTGAATGAGAGAATACCATTGTGCAGAAGAAAATGGTGAATTCTAGCTATCCAAACTTCACGTTCAACCTAATTTACTGTATAAATAGTACCAATAAATACCTGTGTTAATGCTAACTAATTACCTACAATGTTTCACTAGTAGTCCACTAGTACTTTAAGAAACTAGATTCAGATGAACAGGGTGGGGAGAAAGCTATAGATTTAAAACAAGATACTTAAATTTGGGGGAATTCTATAAGTGGTTTTTGCAGTCATTAGGAAAATAATTTTGTTTAGTTTTTAAGTTTTGGATGTAGTACACATCACCACCACCACCACCAGGTAGTGTTACAGCACACATCCATCATGTTGCATTGACACATCGGACTTCTGTGTGTTTGTTTTGATTGCCAAAAGGGCTTAATATCAATTGTACAATCTTTGTAAACTTTATAGCTTCTGGCTCAGGAAAGATAGCCTTTGCTATTGAAGCCAACTTCTTCACATCTGTTATCTGTTACGGAACTAAGAGCTCTTGTTTTAATAACAGGTTTCCATGATGGGAAAGAGCAAGTAGTATGTGTCTTATTCTTGATATAAATAACACCACCTCAGTGCTTACAACCTGGAACAAAACCATACAGTGAGAGAGAGGGCAAACAAAAATCTATGCACTTAACTTACAAATCTCTGGTAATGACTGGTTGTTGTTACCATTAATTGACACAACGGTTTATCATTTGATAGGAAAATATAGCCTGCTGAATCCTACTTAAATTTATACACTTTAAACTGAGTAACTGCATAAAACATTCTTTGGTAATACTGTCCCTTTTGACTTAGATTCTGCCTTATGTAAATTTTTGCATTTTTGGTAACAACCTCCTACATGTGACTCAAAACCTGTTGAATACTTGCTTTCTAATAGCTCTTATGTATGTCTTGGAAGTTTCTTATTTTGGTTTTATCAGACTAATCAGATTAAAACTTCCTTCTGCAGCAGGCTTCTCATTTTTTGTTAACGGTTTGTTTTTAGATACTGAATTTGAACAGCTCTAAATACTGTCCATCAAGTACCTAAAGAGTTTTAGAAATTCGAACATGAGTTCATTTCCTGTTATTCAAAGACATTCTGTAAGTTGGCAAAAGAAGTTGAGAGAGAAATCGGAGGCTTGATATTCAGGTTAGTAATAAGGTTAAGAGGTTGAGAGAATGGTGAAAATGAAAGCCACAACCCCAGCCTGCTGAGACTGACACCATGGTAGTTTTATTAGCTTGACCGATAGGAAGTCATTCATTAGCACAAGCAGTGGAAACTGCCCACCAGTGCTAATATATTTTGAGGTGTAATACAAGGAAAAAAATTTTATCCTTGGATTTGAGGGCAATGAGGATGGGTCAGGAAAGGATGGCGCCAGAATTCCACACGATGATGATCTAAAAAATGTTGCTTTTTAGAGAAAAATAAAAGAAAGTATCTGCTTTGGGTGGGGGGAGGGGTATCTCATGTAAAAATCCTAAGTGGAAGAACTAGCCACTGTCTCTTTAAAAACCACATATAGACAAAATAGGTCTCATTTTTCAGTGCAACAGTACAAGAAAAATATGCTGCAATCTAATAATTATGGTAAATTTTAAACTCATGAAACACCCATTACATTTTTGAGGTTAGATTATCCGTTTCAAAAGGAGTATTCAGGTTATTTAACTTTGTTTTTAAATGGCTGCATCAGAAAAAAAAGTCTATTTTTTTTTATTAAAATATTCATCACTTGTTGAAAACTTCTTTGGATCTGAGTTGGGTAAAGTATTGTTTTACCTGCTGTTGTACTACCACAGACTATTGGCTTTTAGTTTCCTAAAGAGAAAAATTGTCTTTTTACTAGAATGCCTTTGTGTATTGCCAATTTTTCTGTTTGGGAAAGTCTAAGGATTCACTGTGGTTAGTTTCACAGAAGAAATGTGGATTTAATAACCTAGTGCCTATGATTTTAACTTATGTTTGATATATAGTAGTAAGGGTTTTATGAATGTTATTTTTTGTGCCAACAGCCCAGAATTGTCATTTATATGTAAGCAGAAAAAACTATGAACTCTGCTTCCAAAGTTATTTAATTTTCTCAGTGTTTGAATGTTATTTTTTTGTAAGTGTGTTAATAAAAAGTGTAAAGAATTGGAAAAAATATAAATATTCTTAACTCAAGCATTTGCTGGATCATTTTTCTACAGAACTTGTTTGTATGATATAAAACACTCTTTGAAGAGTTGACTTTTTTCAGTTTTCATACCCTGGAAATCACATTTTGTAAAACTGGGGACCATTCATAATTGTCAGATACTTTTTAAAATTATTATCTCAATACATCACTTTTATAAAAAAAGTTTTTTTGAAAGGAAATTAGATACATATTTGGCCCCAGATGTTTGTATAACTCCAGAATAATCTAGACTATGTATGTTTGAATTAACTTTTTATTGACTGTACAGACGTCCATTTTTGACATTACGCATGGTCCTTTTAGATCACATGAAGTTTGATTTGCAAACATTTCTATAGCTGAACTTGTATGTGTGGTTGCCTCCTTAATAAACAGCCTGACCATAATGTTTATTATTAAATTTATATTTGTTTTTTCAAGTGTTTTATTAATTTCTGGATATGGTAAGATTCCTCCCCACTCTACTGCCTACAACTGGTTTTAATAAATTTTTCAGATTTTTTTTTAAATACATACAAACACAAATAATATTGCTCACTCAGGCTTGATCTTCATGGGGTTACAATGTCACATGTCATCACTCTGTGTCCTAGTTATTTTATATGTGGATTATTTGAACTACATTTTTAGTTTACTCTAAATTGGTATGTTTCTGAATCTTTTTCACTTATAACTAATTTTGAAAAAAAATTAATACATTTTTAAACCAAATATGAATATGGAGTTGGTCATGTACATCTTTTCTCTTATGGATGAATAGAAGGAATTTAGAATTATACATTATTTAAGTAATTCTGCACATTCCTTTTAGAAGTTTTAACTATCCTGTATTAGCCTCACTAGTGGGGGCATAGAGAAATGACACCTTCATGTTTTAATTTTTCTCTCAAACCATCCTAGAAACTTTTAAGAAACATCTAAAATTAAATGTCAATATACTTCTAAATCAGTGGATGAGAAATTGACTTACACTTGTTTTATATCTTCTGCAACAGGAAAACTCATGAGAGGTTTTATGAAATACTTGCTATATCGGTTTAGCCTTGAGTTACAAAGTGGAATAAATGATAGAGAAATTAACTTGGGGGAGGTAGTGAAGTAGCTATTCATGTGAGCATGATGCCAAAGTTAGCAAACCCTTATATATTTTGAATTATATATTTTGAATCCGAGTGGGCTAAATGACTTTAGTTCCTAGACTTAAAGTGGAACAGATTTCACTCATGATTTAATACAATTCAGTTAAAACTACCTTAACTGCATGCTGATCCCAAATCAATTCTTTATTTACACTGGTAATCTTAATGTTTTCTCATTAGAAGAAGAAAAAATCTCTTTTGATTTTGAAGGTAATAGACTTAAAATGCTTTAAAAAGAAAATATTAATATGAAGGTGAAAATAATGGTTGTCTGCAACCATACCATCCAGACAAATATTTAAGTGCTGGCATACTATTATAAAATATTACATAGAAGGGTAGGAAGTGTTAAAGATGAGAAAATATTTTTCACTTAAAATGTGGATAGTCATTTACTTTTGAACAGAAGTGTACATTAATTGATACCAAAAGCTTGGAACATATATCTCAATTCCTGACTGTAGACATAAAAATTATGCATGTTTATTGTTGAAAGCTAGAGAAATATGGTCATTATATGGGGAAAAAAACCCACTTAATTCTCATGTAATTGGTGTCTTAAATATGAGGATGTCTCTTGCATCAAGAAGAGTTAATTTTTCAAATATTAAAAAAATTGATGCATAAAATATATTTTAAAAGTCTACCCAAAAAATGACTACTGTTAAGCTCACTGATTTATGGAGACAGAAAATAAGTATTCACAGCATCCCAAAAGGTTTCCTAATCCCACACACTAGACACTTATTTTCTCCTCTTCAAACTCAGCAGCTACCTGACTTCCAACATAATTTAGTTTTGCCCATTTTTGAACTTTATATTCATGGAACCATAACTTGATAGTTTAGTTCTGTATAAAAAGGGGGTTTCTCTCAGGCACTCAACAAATACAAGATTGACTTTAGGTTGATGACAATCAGTTTGTTCATTCACCTTGCCATGTTATCATTGTGTAAGTATGTCTCAATTTGCCCATTATAATGTTGAAGAACAGGTGGATCTCAGAAATAATGCAGCTTTGAACTTGAGTATAGTCAAAATGTAGTAAGCCCTCAAACACTACTCTCTCCTCTTAAAATCTGGACAAAATGCAAAAGGCAACTAACTACTTAAGAATACAGAGTCCGGAAGGGCAGCCAGTAGAGCTGTCACAGTGGCTCCAAAGGATATTTAGGAAAAACCTACAAAAGAAAAACTGACCAAGAAAACAAGCCCCTGGAAGCTACAAAAATCTGAGTATTTTTATTTTCTGTTCTTTCATGGCATGTTGTAGATAAGCCCCCAGCCAAGTTCCAGTAGCAAGTAGTGCCAGCAGTTAACTGATGGAAACCTGGTCTTTCTGAACAGAGGAAATGGGAAAAGAGTTAGAGGCTAATGGCCTCACCTTCGTCATGAAGGTGACCTGGGTCAAACTATAGAGTTAAAATTCCAAGAGAAATTCAATGCACATCAGAGCACTAGGTAGTGGGTCCCTGAGGAGCAAGTGGAGAATCCAGACAGAAGAGCATTGGGAACCAGGTCTTACTCTGCTTTGATTAGCTCAAGCTCCAAGGTTACCTCTAGCTGTGCATACTCAGGACAGCCCCAAAATAGCATAGCTGAGTTTGAGGATAAACCACTAAGCATGATACAGACTAATTACTTAATAAGTGTATGTGCGAGGTAGCACCAACACAGCATAATAAAGCGTTTGCAAAATGAACTGACTTTAGAAGATGGAGCAGAATTCGCAGTCAGAACCTGTCTGGGTTGATTGATAAAATCAACATTATTTAATGAATATTTTAGCAGGATCTAGTCTAAATTATTATATTCACAATGTAAAGCACATAATCTACAGTTACTCAAGATATAAAGAACCTGAAAATGTGATTGATTCTCAAAAAAGGCAATGAATGTCAACATAAATGATCTAGATGTGACAGAAGAGTCAATGATGTCAAAGGGAGATCAGTAGAATTTATTCAATCTAGAGAACAGAAAAAGAAAAGTCTCAGAAACCTGAGACAAATTATCAAAAGATCTAACATTTGTGTCACTGGAGTGTGGTAATAACCTGGTCCTCCAAAGAAAGGTCTTTAACTGTAGATTTTGCAGTGTCCAGTATTCCCACCATAGCCATTTTCAAGCAAACAACATGATGTCTGTGAGCATGGACTTGGGAAGAAATAGAATCAGCTGTTATATGCTTGGTACAAACTGGCTTGCTACCCCAATATTGGAATCCCAGAAAATAGTATAGAAAAATATTTGAAAACATGGTTAAAAACTTACCATATTTGGGGGTCTCCCTGTTGGTGCAGGTAACGGTTAAAGATACACCACTATCAAGCTATCACCAGCCATTGCAGCACCAGTTCAACCCCCCTGCCTGCCAGAGAACTAACCCATATGCAGATTAAAGAATCTCAGAGCTTGTTTCAGTAATACATAATGCTAAAATAGGAATGATAAAAATAGCATGACTCATCAGATGCAAGGATGACATACAAATTCATGGAATATCCCATATATTTTAATCTACAAGTTCAGATGACTTTTTTTAATGTTGTATTCAAGACAGCCAATAAAAGCAAAACAAATCTCAGCAACCTGAGATTTTAGTTTATAAACCACACCCAGACATATCATTAGCAAACTGCTTACCTCAGAAAAAAACGCAAACATAACTGATCTGTTGTAGTTAAATTGCTGCCAGTCAAAGATAAGATAACAAGAGAAAACCATACTAACATACTACACATAGAACTACAATTCAATGACAGATTTTCCATCAGGCAGCGTGGAAGCCAGAATATGGTGAACTCATTTCTAGAGTGTTAAAAATAAGCATTATCAACTGAGTTCTTACCCAGTGGAAATTTTCTTCAGGGACTAAGGTAAATAGGATGATGGAAAATGAATATTTTGTCTGCAGACTTGTTTTGAAGGAAATGATGCCAAAGGGAAGCATATAAGAATGATGGGAAAACTACTCAAATGTGTTTGTGTGTGTGTGTATGTAAATGTGTACATGTGCATCAGGTATGTGTGGATGTATATAATGTGTATGTATACACATGTACGTGTGTAAATATTTTTAAAATTCTAAGTTCTGTAAAATATGTATGACTGATGAAAACCAAAACTATAAATTGCTAGGATAAGTTTTCAATACTATAAAATATAGTAAAAAGGCCTACATAGTTAAAAGACTAGAAATAGTAAAATATTAACTAGAGGTGTGAAATAATAGCTATTATATTGTAATCACAATTGCAACTGAAAGAGGGGAAGAATAAGTTACTATATATATTCAAATAATCCAAAAAGAAACAGCAAAAATGGAAGAACCAAGAAAGGACAACAAAAGCAAATAGTAAAATGGTAGACCTATGTAAATCCAACCACACCAAGAATTATATTAAATGAAAATCACTTAAACATCCAAGTTAAGAGATTGTCCGTTTGCACATAAAAAGACAAGATCCATCTACAAACTTAAGGCTATATATATATTTTTTAAAGGTTTATTTGTGTACACAGAACTGAGGTACAGGCCAGAGGTGCAGGGTGGTGAGAGGCTTCCCAGAGACAAGAGTGGGGAGCAGAACAGGCTGATGATGAAGTACACTGCTGAGGGGCATGTGGATCACCTTGGGGCGGGGATCGAACTCATGCTGACATGGCTCTAGATTCTTAGTGCTGTGCTTTAGCCCGCTGCATTACTAGGGAAGGGCCAAGGCTGTATTTTTTAATGTAAGTTTGAAGGTACAGGTTAGAATAAAATGGTAAACAATGCAAGCATCAATAAATCGGAGTGTGGCTGTATTATTAAAATAGACTTCTGAGCAAGAAACATTACTAGGGACTGAAAGGGAAATTACAAAATGATGAAAAGTCAATTCAAAAGAAGATGCCATAATCCTAAAAATGTATGCACCTGATAAACAGATCTTCAAATTTGTGAGAGAAAATTAATAGATGGAGATGAGAAATAACAGAGCCATGGTTATAATTGATAGAAGTAGACCAAATTAGGCTATGAAAGACTTGAACAATGCTATCAACTAACTTAGCTAAAATGACATTAAAAGAACATTCCAGTAACACATGGAATAGTCACAAAATCAAATTAGATTCTGGATCATATAACTTAAGAACAAATACTCTTATTCTTTGAATGATCGTAAAGAAACCTATAACAATATAAACCAGCATTACCTCAATTTAAAAAAAAATCCAGGGGAAGAAAAATGCCACAAATAAAAAACGGATTTTTAAAA